TCCCGCGCCCGAAGGAGCCGCCCAAAGGGAAGGGGCGGAGGGAGGGGCGGGGCTTCGGTGGGAGGAGCCGCAGTGGCCCCGCCCCTCCCTCTGCCCCTTCCCTTCGGGCCTTCCCTTCGGGCGCGGGAGGCTCCTGGCGGGGGCGGCGGATCTTCGGCTGGGGAGCTGAAGGGGAGGCTCCGAAGGGAAGGCCCGCGTCCTCCCTTCCCCGGCTTCTCCTGCCAGGGAGATGCAGCTCGCAGGCTCTGAAGCCTCCCAGGCTCCCCCCGGGGGTCTCGGGCGACTCCTGGGAAAAGGCCCTGCCACCCCCAGGAGGAGAACCGCCGGGCCAGAAGCCGAGCAGCCGAAGGGATCCCGGGAAGGGACGGAACTCGGCCCGAGGGGATCCCGGGAGGCCGTTGGGAGACGAGGGAGCCCAGGAGGGACGGGGGGATCCACTGGAAAGCCAGGGATCCCAGGAGGGGATGCCCCCCCACCCTTTCCTGCGGGGGGGAATGGACCCCCTCCTCCTCCTCCCTTTGGTGCTGAGCAGTGGGGAGACCAGCCGCGGGGGGAGCTCTGGGCCCCCTGGAGAAGGAGCTGGAGAGGCTCCTGCAGTTGGTCTGCTTTGGTGGGTCCTCTAGACCGGATCTCCTGCGATTGAGGAGGCCCTCTGGCCACAGGGACCCCCAACTCTGCAGCGGAGGAGACCCCGAGGCCCCCCCAGCTCCGAACAACGTCTGGCTACGACCAAACAGGGGCCGGAGAAGGCAGGTTGGGAACAGGGGGCGCAAATAAACTCTGTAGATGCTCAGAGTCTGCAGTGGCCTGTTTTCCACAAAGGACAGTTGAGGATCCTGGGAAAGGTCATCCCACGTCAAGCGTGTCCCGTGAGTGGCAGCTGCCAGCTGGCCTCTAATTGAAATGGGCCCAATTGGCTGTGGAAGTGACAGGAAACCACAAAGAGATCTCCACTCTGCCTACAAGAAGCAAAGGCTAACTGCTTCCACATTGGGGCTTCATAAATCAGAAATACACTTCCTAAGGTGGGAAACGTGGCCCCACGTGGCTCTGTCTAAAACTGCCCCCTTGGCTGGGGACCCATCAGCAAAGCC